CCGGAATCTCTCAATATATTTTTTTAAAAAACCCCTTCTCTGTATTATTTTTAAAGGAAGAAGAAAGAAGCTGAGATCACACAGAAGTTCCGGGATGCTATGGCGAAGGCGAAAGCACGCATCGTGGCGGAGAAGTGGAAGATCGAGACAGAAGATCGCAAAGCCGCCAAACTGATGGAAGAGAAAATCCAGGAGGAATTAAAGGTTTGCTTCTTTCTAGTGCATTTTTCTCCTCACCCTTCCTCCAAGAAGCTCAGCGTGACATACAGGCTTCCCCTTCCCCATTTGATCCTCACAACAACCCTGCGAGGACAGGTTGGGTTGAGCGAGAGAGAGAGAGACTGGCCCAAAGGTCACCCGGCGAGGTTTAGGACTGACTGGGGATTTGAAGCAGGGCCTCTCAGATTCTAGTTTGGCGGACTAACCACTACACCAGGGGCCTCCAAACTTTTTGAGCCCAAGCTCATCTTTGGAATTCTGACACAAGATGGTGGGCACAGACACAAAATGGCTGACGCAAAATGGCTGTCACAGGAGGCAGAGCCAGCCACAAGATGGCTGCCATAGCTTATCTTTAGCCACGCAGTGAAGAACCTCGTGCTGTGGTGGGCAGCTGCTGCTGAAGCACTGTTTTAAACAAAATTTGCTCAGCCAAATCTCCCATGACCAGTCAGAAGCCCTGCTGAGCAGAGGTCCCGAGTCACCCTGTCCACTTGTTGCCCCCCGGGAAAGGTGTTGGTGGGCACCAGGGTGCCCAGAGGCATCACGTTGGGTACTCCCGCACTCCACCATTCCGGCTCTCACTCCTTGATACATTTTCATTCCACCACTGAGCTTATATGGTACCTGGGGTTGGGGGGGAGGCACATCCCAGAATTAGGGCTGAAAAAATTAGGGCTGACAGCATTAGGGCTGGCCTCCTGCCCAGCAGCCCTGCTTGCCCACCACCACTCAGTAGGCATTGTTCTGACACCGCAGTGTTCCTTCTGGCGTGAACCTGGAAGAGAGGGTGGCATGATGCTCTAGGAGTCCCACAGAACTCTGTGGTAAAACCAGAGAGGTTGTGGTGAATCCTAGAGCGTTGTGCTGGCATGATGACATCGCTTCTGGGCTCGTACAGGAAGTGACATCACAATCTGGGAGATTTGCATGCCCCTGCCCCTCTAAACTTCCCGATGGTTGCCAGTGCTATGCTGACAACCCCACTTAGAGTGCTGCCACCAGAAGTTCACCCCGGATGAAAACTCTCCTTTGTAGACTAGATATAGATTAGAACCCCGTGCAGAGAATGCAGACTCAGGACCAGTGTTCCCTCTAAGCTGAGTCAGTGTGAGCCAGCTCACAGTTTTTTAGCCTCCGGCTCACGCATTTCTGTCTCAGCTCAGGAAGGATGCCTCCAGAGCAAACTGATTTATGCAGCAGCCAAATCCCTCGCTAACTTTAATGCCAGTAGCTCACCAAGTAGAATTTTTTGCTCACAAGGCTCCACAGGTTAGAGGGAGCATTGCTCAGGACCACCGCTAGAGGCAAGCCCGTAGCCAGGATCTCCCCCCCCCCCCCG